GACCCAGAATCATGTTGTAGGCAGAGAGTTCCTCTACCACTAGGAACCGGACTACCATGTGTCGTCCTTCCCCTTTTTCGCCCAGGCGGATGGGTAGATCTACTCGTCCCAGTGGGTGGACGACTCCTCCCCCAAACCCTATTAAAGGGTGGGAGGCCGGATGTATGCAGTCCGTCTGATATTTCAGTTTTGATAGACATTTGCTGCTGATGAGATCTGAAGAGCTCCCGGTATCTATGAGGATTCGACCAACCCTCTGGTTGGCCACTTTACATTCAATAACGAGAGGGTCGTCATGCGGCCCCCTTATTCCTCCTAGATCCTCTTCAGTGATGACAATCTCAGGAAATGTATATTTGGACGGTCGTTCTTGGTGAACGGAATTTACATCTAACCGCCTTATATTATCTTTGTTGCCCCTAATAGTGGGGCCGCCTCCTGAGAAGCCGCCTGCAATGGTGTAGACGACTGCATCATCTGTATCAGAACTGTCAGCCTGCTGATTCTTTTTGGCCGACTGCTTTTTTGAGGAAGTGTTTCCCGCAGATTTCTTGACATAAGTGTCAAGATCACCTTGATCAGCCAATCGGTCTAGGTACCGCATGAGACTGATGCAGTCATTGGTGTGATGACCAATGTCATCATGATAAGCACAGATTTTGTCTTGGTTCCGGTTGCTCGCAGAACCCTTCATGGGGAGCGGCTTCTCAATTGAGAGCCGTCCCTTTATTTCTTTTAGGATAAACTGGTTATCCTTGTTAAACACATATTTTGGGGAGTATGGTTTGAATTCTTTTTTCTTTTTCTGGGCCGGCTGTTTAGAGGAATCAGCCGCCCAGACCCCTTTTCTTTTTTCATCCTTGTTGGACGACTGTTTCTGTCGTCCCTCTCTATTGTCGAACCTCTTCCCGTCCGACTGTTTCATCGTACACAGATCAGTCGCCTGTATATAGGCTTCTGCTTCAATCAAGGCCTCTTGAAGAGTCGCCACCCTTTTTCGAACTAAATCAAATTTGAAGGTAGACCCGTCTTTGAGACCTCTAAAAAAGTCAGTATAAGCTACCTCATCCGGTAACCCTTGAATCTGTATTCTCATCAGGTTGAACCGCCTGATGTAGGAACGAAGCCCCTCCTTTTCACCCTGCTGAATTGTTCCCAAATCAAGGGTCGTTTTCTTCGCAGGGATGTTCATTGCGAAGTTGGAGGCAAATAAGTAAGCAAGCGTCCTGAAGCTGTTTACACAACCAGTCGGCAGGTTGCCGAACCATTGCTGTGCAATTCCCTTGAGAGTCGCTGGGAAACACTTGCACCAAGTGGGATCATCCAACCCTTGAAGGTACATCAGGTTGGTGAATGCCATCAGATGGTCTTCCGGGTTAGTAGTGCCATCATAGGCGCCTACTAAAACATTTTTTACTTTGGCCGGCTGAGCGGCTTCAGTAATTTCCTTGGAGAAGGCCGACGGCTGTTCACCAAGTCTAAGCAGCCGTAGCTGCCAGTCCATAGGTTGGACGTTTTTTGCTGCAGGTCCACCAAATGGAGGTGGCTGCATAAAATACTGTTGTTGCGGCACAAATGGTAAGTTTGGTACCGCCTGGGCACTATGAAAGTCGGACTGACGGGAGGTGCCGCCTGACTGACTCTCATGGTACGACTGAGTTGGCCTCATCGAGGCGTTTCGCAAACTGTCCTGAAAATTTGAAGTAGAAGCCGACTCTGATAATCGGTCACTCTTCTTCTGCTCTAGCAGGTGCCGAGCATCTGTGAACGTTTGCTTTGACCCGTCCGCCTGAATATGACGAACCGGTTTCCTATTTCCCGTAGGGTAACGGAATTTTGTGAAATCAAGAGCAGACGGTTCCCGCTTCTTGGATTTAGGATGGGGAGTCGCCTCTCGCCCTTGAACTGGCTTCCTCCTCAGTGAAGTGGAAGGTTTCTTGGCCGACTGCTCTTTGACTGAAGCAGGCGGTTTTTTGTTGATCAACTCTTGGATCTCTCCCTTGAAGTCCCTCATGAAGGTCATGAGTTCGTTCCTTGTGATGGGAGCAGACCCATCAGTCGGCTGTTGCCGAGCAAGCGGTGCGCCTGCTGGCTCGCTTCCTGTTTGAAGATACTCCCGTTCCCTTATTTCAGTATGACGGGTACGGCGGGCCCTTAGGGTCCCGTCTGGAGCTGTATGAGTTTCAACTTCAAATTCACTTTCGGTATCATGGTCCGACTGAACTTGAGGGTCGTCTAGGGGACGCCTCTCTTCTGGAGTCGGTACAGACTTGGATGCCATCTCTGAAGTACTCTCCCCACAGACGGCGCCAAATGTTTCGGGGTTTTCTGATGTCCTGCGGGAGAGTTACAATTCCGAGACTGGAACCGGACGTCTGTACCTGCAAAATAACGGAGACTCCTGAGAGCTCCGCCTCCAACGGTCAAGTTAGTACCTGATTAAGGAGTAATCAATACAGAAAGTAAAGTAATGAGATCTCTCTAGGTGAGAGTGCTTAGTGTTGGTAATCTGCGTTGTTAGCGTGATTAGCCGGTTGTTAATAAGTCTGTTCTTCTCTGCTTGATCTCTTAATTATTCGGTTGTTTTTTTGTTCTCCTGATTAATGAGGATTAATCGAGTATTTATAGCCTTGGGAAGCGTGCAACTCTCTAGGCTTAAGGTAAACCTAGGGCTGATCGGGCCTCTAGACTGAAATGGGCCTTGATGGCCGGTTGTCCCACTTGGCATGGGTGGACACGTGGCGTGTCTTAAGTGGTCCGTGGAGGACGTATCTGTGACTGACACGTGGCAAGCTCCTGTTGGCCTTCGTGAAGGACACGTGGCGGAACCTGGTTGGTCCACTTGTCAGACGGTGATTGGTGGATAAAAATCCCCTAATCAGGCACAATTTAGAAACCGAAGAAATTTGGGGGCATAACTTAGAAAAACCCTAATTTATTTATAAACTAAAAATTATCTTTCTTTTAAAATATTTATTTTTAAAATTAAAATTATTTTAAATACTAGAAATTATACAAATATTTGGATAAAATTGTATAAGGTTGTTTTTTTTTTTTTTTTGTAAATAATTTAAATCCTAAATCACTATTCGTAATTTTTTTTTCTTGTTCAAGTCATAATAGAGACATATTGTAAACGAGTTTACTAGTGTTAATGAGGTTCAGATTTATATCGGTTTGGATTATAATAGAGGTCCATGCTTAAATGAGTCATATTTATCAGATACCAAGTCTAATCGGATCGAGTTAGAATGGATCATTTGATAGGTGTATCAATTTATGTAGTAGTTCGATTCAAAAATTAATGAATTTGTTTATTTTGATCAATTTTGGCTGGATTGTGAGCGGTTTGTTTCAAGTTACTCCGTATAATGAACGTGGTTTTATATTGAGTCAAGACTTAAACAAGTCAATTTAATTTCAAGTATCAAAATTTATATAGATCATTAGGACAAAAAAAAAAAAAAAAAAAAAAAAAGTGCGTGCCTCAAGAGGATCAGCACTAGGCACGCAGAATCACAAAATTTCCTAGTACCTTTCTGTTCCAAAATACTCCCGTTAATGATCAAAATTTCCAAACTTTTCTGCATAATTAACAAGTACCGCCAACTTGCCATTAAAATCTTAATATACCTAACTCCTGCTTTTCGACCAGATTCTCTGAATTATATAATTCTTAATATAATTACGTGTGTTACATATATTTATAGATAAACTCTTACAATGTTTTTGTTCCAATTAAAAATAATAAACCCCAATAAAAGTTAAACACAACGATTGTATTCAGCAAACACTAAACAGAAGCTCCTGAAACTGTATCAGATTATCAGCAGTAGTAGTACTGCAGTAGTTCCCTAACCAAAATATTCACTATTCAGTGCCCGTTAATTTATTTTATTGTTTCATTTCTTTATTAAAGAGCAAGAGCAGTACATACAGTATTATTCTTTGTGTTTCTAGATACTGCTTGCAAAGTTGCAATAATTTGCATCCTTGTTAAAACTACAAAATTTTGTACTCTCTCCATATTTTTTTTAAAGTGTTACGGTTTAACCGATATATAATTTTAAGCAATTTAATTAACTTAAATAAAATAAGAGGTAAGTGGCGTAGTTGAAATATTAAAAAATTGAAAAAGAAAGATAGTAGGGTTAATATTTGGAAAAATGGAAACTAATAACCCCACCTTTGTCACTTCTGTTCAAAACAATCTCACCTTTTCGAATTGCCAAAATAATCCCACCTTTGATCACCATCTTCTCAAAATGAGCCTTTTATCGGTTTGTGGTAGCGATTAGCGTTTTGATCCGTCAAAACACTATTAGGAAAAAAAAATAACAGTGTTTGGCAAGATGGCTGTGTAATTAACTGTTGGCGGTAGAGGTAGCTTTTCTCAAACGTTAAAAATAGTAGCGTTTAAGAGTAGCATATAGCGTTTGTTAATTTTTTCTTACATTTTTTTAAAAATAATTTATACGATTATTAATGTATTTTAGTATTGCAATAACTACTTTTGCCAAAAACTCATATTATCAACCGTTACTTTGACAGTTAACCTTTACTCACTACTAATTGGCAGCTACTCGCTATCGATACGGCTACCCGCTTTTAACCGCTAAAAGCTAACTATTACCGCTAATTTTGCCAAATAAGGCCTAAGAAGGTAACCTCCATTGTGGATGGCCACACCCTAATGTACCATTATGGTTGGTCATATAAGAATTTGTGCTAATTAAAATAATTAACTGTTTAGATTATTCAAAAATGGATTTAAGTTTTTTTTTTTTCCTAAGCAGAAACGGATTAATATATTTTTCATTTTTGAAAAAAAAAGGGATTAATATTATGGACTATGGAGTAACACTAATTTTTTCACCACCAGACAACATTCCACGTGGCTTACACTCAGCTGATGCAGTCTTAATTCTTTTTCCCGTTACCCGCTCCACATATAAATATCAATTCCCCCCCCCCCCATTTCCTTCTCTCACTCCACACTGTTCCCCACTCCACTAAAGTAAACCCACAACTTTCCACTATTTCAAATTTCATTCAATTTTTTTTTTTCTTTAAATTTCCAACCACTTTCTAATATTAGAAAGAAAGTAAGATCAACAATGGCAGACACCTCCAACGGTCGAAAATTGGTGGTGGAAATCTGCAATGCAAAAAACTTAATGCCAAAAGACGGTCAAGGAACCGCCAGTGCGTTCGTCATGGTAGATTTCGACGGCCAACGCCGTCGAACTAAGACGATAACACGAGATCTCAACCCACAGTGGGACGAGAAGCTCGACTTCATTGTGCACAATGCTGAATCAATGGATTCAGAGGTATTAGAGCTCAATATTTATAATGATAAGAAGACGGGAAAACGGTCGAATTTTCTTGGGAAGGTGAAGATTGGTGGTGCTGCTTTTGCGAAATTAGGATCGGAGAGTTTGATTTATTATCCATTGGAAAAACGGAGTGTTTTTTCGCAGATTAAAGGGGAGATTGGGCTTAAGGTTTGGTATGAGGATCCTCCTTCGCCGCCTGCTGCGGCGGAGGAGGAGAAGAAGGCAGAGGAGGAGGGGAAGAAGGCCGAGGTGGAGGAGAAGAAAGACGAGGAGAAAAAACCCGAGGGCGGGGACGAGAAGAAAGAAGTTGAAGTTAAGGAAGGAGAGGGGAAGGATAATAAGGGTGATGTTAAGGAGGAGGAGAAGAAGCCGGAGGAGGAGAATACGCCTCCTGTGGCAAAGGATGAAGGTAATAAGGAAGGTGATCATCAACCTCCGCCTCCGCCGCCTGATCAGGCGGCGGCGGCGGAGGTGGTTAACCCGCCTGTTGCGGAGAATGTGAACGTGGGAGTTAGTGAGAAGAAGAATACAGAGGTTTCTTTAGCTAGTCCTACTGTGACTGGTGGTGGTGGTAGTGGTTCTGCCATGAGGAGTGATCTCGAGGTACGCTCTATGTCGGGGTCAGATCGAAGACAGGGAACTGGGTATGATTTAGTAGATAGGATGCCGTTTCTTTATGTTCGAGTCATAAAGGCGAAGATATTGAGTTCGGAAGGGGAGTCATTGAGCTTTGCTAAGCTAGTGATTGGTACTCATAGTATCAAAACGACGTCGGAGAAGAGTGGGAAGGATTGGGATCAGGTGTTTGCGTTTGATAAAGAAGGGTTGAATTCGAGTTCACTAGAAGTGTCAGTTTGTACGGTGAACAAGAAGGAAGAAAAAGATGGTATTGTGAAAGTTGAGGAGAAATCACTTGGAACGGTGTCGTTTGATTTACAAGAGGTACCAAAACGCGTACCACCTGATAGTCCGTTAGCGCCTCAGTGGTACACTCTAGAAGGTTCGGAAGGTACGGGTGCTGATGTGATGGTCGCAGTTTGGGTTGGGACCCAAGCCGACGAGGCGTTTCAGGAGGCTTGGCAATCGGATTCGGGTGGGTTGATTGCTGAGACCCGAGCCAAGGTTTATTTGTCTCCAAAATTGTGGTATTTGCGTGTAACGGTTATCCAAACCCAAGATTTGCAATTAGGTTCGGGATCATCCGAACCAAAAAGCCGAACTCCTGATCTTTATGTTAAGGCTCAGCTTGGTGGTCAGGTCTTTAAGACGGGTCGGATGACGTTGGGGTCCACTAGTCCTACGTGGAATGAGGACTTGGTGTTTGTGGCTGCGGAGCCGTTTGATCCATTTTTGGTGATCACGGTTGACGATGTTACAAGTGGACAATCGGTCGGGTTTGCAAAGGTGCACGTGGCAAGCATCGAACGGAGGACGGATAATCGGGTCCAACCTAAGTCAAGATGGTTCAATTTGGTTGGGGAGGATGAGAAGAGTAAGCCATATGCTGGGAGAATACACTTAAGAACTTGCATTGAAGGAGGGTATCACGTGCTTGATGAGGCTGCTCACGTGACTAGTGATGTCCGAGCCTCGGCTAAGCAACTAGCTAAACCTCCAATTGGTTTGCTTGAGGTTGGCATTCGAGGGGCTAACAACTTATTGCCCGTCAAAACTAGAGATGGTACTTGTGGTACCACGGATGCTTATGTTGTGGCCAAATACGGGCCTAAATGGGTTCGTACACGAACCATACTTGACCGGTTTAACCCTCGATGGAACGAGCAGTATACGTGGGATGTATATGACCCGTGTACTGTTGTAACCATTGGGGTGTTTGACAATGGGCGGTACAACAAAGATGAAACAAATAAACCCGGAAAAGATATTCGTATTGGTAAGGTAAGGTTGCGTTTATCGGCCCTTGATGGAAACCGGGTTTACTTGAACACGTACCCGCTTACAGTGTTGCTTCCTGGTGGCGCACGACGGATGGGTGAGATTGAGATAAGTCTAAGGTTTACTTGCTCATCATGGATTAGTCTGCTTCAAGCATATTCAAATCCAATGTTGCCTAGAATGCACTACGTATGTCCATTAGGCCGAGCCCAACAAGACATCTTGCGCCACACAGCGATGAGAATCGTTACTGCTAGACTAGCTCGGTCCGAGCCACCTCTGGGCCTTGAAGTGGTCCAATACATGCTTGATTCAGACACTCACATTTGGAGCATGAGGAGGAGCAAGGTGAATTGGTTTAGAGTAGTCAGTGGGCTATCTAAAGTAGCCACTTTGGCTCGGTGGCTTAATGGGATACGAACTTGGGCTCACACACCAACAACCATCTTGGTCCACATCGTACTCATAGCTATTGTAGTCTGCCCACACCTTGTGCTCCCAACATTTTTCATGTATGCTTTCCTAATCCTAGCTTTCCGTATAAGGTACCGTGCCAAGGTCCTTCTTAGCATGGACCCTCGGATATCTTGTGTAGATGTAGTGTCCAACGACGAGCTTGATGAGGAGTTCGATGGGCTACCAACAACACGACCACACGATATAGTTCGGGTCAGGTACGACAGGCTAAGGGCCTTGGCAGGAAGAGCCCAATCATTTTTGGGGGACATGGCAGCCCAATGGGAAAGAGTGGAAGCGTTGTATAATTGGAGGGATCCAAGAGCAACAGGGATATTTTTGGTATTCTGCTTGATCGCTTCGATAGCATTTTACGTGGTACCCTTTAAGGCTTTTGTGTTGGGTTCAACATTCTATTACTTGAGACATCCCAAGTTTAGGGGTGACATGCCATCGGTTCCCGCCAACTTTTTCCGGCGTCTACCCTCGCTTTCCGATCAAATTCTATGAGTTTGTACTGGGGGCAGGGGGGGTTAAAGGTTATTTTGTTAAGGGGTGCACTTTCCTGGTGTGTGCATTAGATAATGTTACTTCATGATTTTGTCAACTTAATGAAGGATCTACCACTTTTGTTTTTATTCTCTTAAACAAGACTTGTGCAAAGTTTGTAATTTACTTGTATATTTATTTTGTATTCTTTTGATTTGGGACACTGAAATGCGCAACTTTTAAATTTTAAATTAAAGAAAGTGGGCAATCTAGGCATTAATGGGAAAAGATGAGGAGATTTAATTTTGGCAGTTGATTAAATGTTACCGTTTGAAATTCCATTAATCATCTGTCATTGAATTGATTGAATATTCTCAGGAGAAAAACAGAAAACAGTACAGAACTCTGAATATGATCATGTACATGAAGTCTTGGTAATTGTTATTCTAGGAAACTATTTGTATAATGAAATTAATACTCTTGTTCACCTAGGCGCAGGGTGTAAATATTGCTAGGGAAATTCAAAAGTTCAAAACAAGATAATGGAAAGCTAATAGGGAATATATTGTAAGTATGATATGATTTTAAGTTCGAGCCTAAGAGTTGCTGTAACCTCAAGCTTCAAGTCTATCCTCTAAGTATGTCTAATCGAGTTCAGGCTTAGGTTACTCTATTAAGCTCAACCCCTAGCTCGAGCTTGAGTCGCGTTCCAACATAGGAAACTTCTTTCAAACTATGATATTCATAACTGAGCTCTGCAGACTGCAGTGTTCCTGAAACTCTTCATTCGTAATGTAATCTAAGCAACTCATCTCAACTATACGGCTCATTAACCATTTAACCACTTTAATTAGTTATAGGCTCATTGTTATCTTCTATAGACTCTTGCAGCTTTACATCCTTGCAATTAATGGGGAAAAGACGAGAAAATTCAATTTTTGCAGTCCGGTAAATGCAACAGCTTGAGATTTATTACGGAGTATTAAACTGTCAGTAAATTGAATATTCTCAGGAGCATAGCATAACAGAAACATACAGAGCTCTGATTATGATTATGTACGTGAATTATGTGGTCTTACATACTATATATCAAAGAAGTTGGTGATTGTTAGTGTAGTTTTGTATGAGTTTAAGGTTGGTTTATACTCTATACTCAGCTGAACTAGCTCGAGCTTGAGTACGCATATCAGAACTTTCTTTCAAACTAAATTCATAACTGAGCTCTGCAGACTGCAGTGTACCTGATGCTGTCTTCATTCGATATTTAATCTAAGCAGCTCATATCACTTACTCTCATTAGTCATCGTGCTCGTGTATAGACTCTATATCACTGACTCTTGCAGCTTAACATCCTTCCTACTGAGTACTGAGTATGTAAAACATAGCTCTTCTATTAAAATCAAGAAGTTCACAAAACTATATGATCCATTTTCCACAAAAAATACTTCTCTGTAGTACCATTTACTATTCTTATCGAATTAAGTAATCAAAATTTATTATTAGTCCGTATTGTACAAACACAAATTGGATTTCATAAAAAAATCATTGTAGGTGGCTCATCTACACCAATGTTTATTAGATTTCCTAGCAGAAACCAATTTCGTTAACAAAGTTTTAAGTCTTCTGGAACCAGCACCAGGTTTCAAAACACCATAATTCTCAGCTTTTAACCCTGAGCAACTGCCTTGTCCTCCATCAGTCCCCCCACACCACCCGCCATAGCTAAATGTATCATGCCACTTACTCCTCTTGAGAATTTCTCGATCAATTTTTTCAAGAACGCGATCATTTTTCTTGAACTTCCTAGCAAATGGTCGGTTACTAAGGACCATTCTACGAAAATCCTTGAGGCCAAGAGATCTTGGATGCTGCTTAGGAGGGTTATCCCAACTGATGTAGTGTAAATCATGATTAATTGTAGTGTTTTTGTAATCCTGAGAGTTGCATATGACTGTTTGGAAGTAGCCCTCTGGCGAGGACACGAAGTTGGTGTAGTAGAGCAGTAGTGTCCTTGGAAGATTTTCCCATCCTACTATGCAATACTCAGCAAAGGACCTTGATAAAACAGTCCAGGCAGAGCCTGTAACATGAAAAATACAAAAGCAAAAAGATTAAAGAGACATGATTACAAGAATCTAACACCTTATTATATTAATAATGAACCGACCATTTGATAATTACAAAAGATATTAATATTAAACTGACAGTTCAAGTATGATTATACATTATATATAAAATACAGTTAACAAAAATTCAGAGCTCAAGTACTGTTGGTACAATTTTACAATCTAAAGCATGTGCATCAATGTTAGAGTTAGCATGTGCATCATCTAGATTATCTAGCCCAAACTGCATCTGTTGGACATAATTTTATTTTAGAGATTAGTTATTATTTTGATGAAGTATGACAAAACAGAACATTTTAGCAACTGACAGAACAGACTACTTTTGCTGTGAGTCAGCTACTTATATTTTTGACAATGATCTGATCTGAGGATCTAATACACAAGACCATGTAGAGTAAAATAGCATATCTTGTTACTTTACCAAGGAAAAAGAAATCCTTTCAATGATTAGCTTTTCCAAAATATTACATTACCCACTAAATGTTTGCCATGGTAATCAGTGGGAAACTACTAAGGTGCATGGGGTGTTGGTCGACACCACCCCGTTAAAAATTAAAATTACCCGTAAATTCTGTTTCTTTTTTCTTAAATATCTACTTATATAATGTCAACATCCTATCTTCAAAAATCTAGCTCTGCCCCGACTACATAATGATATTGATATAGCTTAGGCATGAACAACATGTTCACCCTTGAATTATAACGAGTTAACGACAAGCTTTCCATATATATATCAAGAATAATAACGTCCTTTTATTTAGATGGTAAACATTTTTTTGAAAAACAATTTCCCTTAATCTTATTTAATGTTTCTTGGTTTGGTTTGTAAAAGGTGAAAAATATTTGCTCAAAATGGAAAATAGTTTTCCTAATTGTGGAAGACATTTTCATTTTAATTTAAAAAATAATAATAAAAAAATACTCATTGTATTACGAAGTATACATTAATGCATATATAGTCAATGGATTTTAATCAAACAATAATGCATTAAATATATACTATAAGTACTCTCCACCTTAAAAATAAAATTGTATAATAACCCTAAGCGAAAATTTAAATTTAAAATTAAAATTAAAATAAAATGAAAAAAAAAAATAAAAAATAAAACTAAAAACTAAAAACTCCTATGTATACTACTATACTTTCAATATATATACTAGTAATTATACTGAAAGTATTAGACCTATATATAGCACTACCCATACTAAAGATACATGTGCTATTGCATGACAATGAGGCTTTATTTTAAGGGTTTTGGTCTTTTGGAGGGATGTAACTGCTGTATCGATGGACTTTTCAAATAAGGAGGTCAAGTCAAGGGCATAGAGCATATATAGTAGTACAAGGGTAATTATAGTTTAATCAATTGTTAAATCAATTTATGCAAAGTGGATTAGTGGTTTAGACTTCAAATCATAAGTGGTTGATCATGAATACTTTATCAAATCAGAACCAAATATATAATCATTAACACATGTCACTGTCACTTTGAATCTCAGCAACAACTAATTATTCAATTTGTAATGATAATTATTAAAACCAACAAAATTGACTAGATCAAAAATATAATTAATGAATAATAATGTACTTGTAACATTTTTTATTGTGATAGACAAAATGATGAAAACTATGTGCTCGTATGAGGTTCACCCCTGAACCTTTCTATCATTCTAAAATTCTATGGCCTACCATATTACCACTAAGAAAACATAGTAAAAATATCTTGTCAACTTTACATGTCCTTGCTAGTTTTTAAGAAAGTAGATCTCGAAATTTATTCTACTAAATTTCCTTGGGACAACTCGAGAACCACAGTTGGTAGGAATCAAACTTATGACATTAGACAAACGACCACCAAGTACATCCGATCCGTGGATATAGGGTGTTGGGAAATTAAGCTAATAATACAATTATGCAAAGAAGTCACCTCTATATTGTACGAGGCCATTAAAGCTAGCTCTTATAACGTTTTGATGGGTCATTCATGTGAATTTAAGCTAAGGGCGGTTCAAAGGCCACATGATTCCCTTCAATCACCCACACACTTTGCGTGTATTCTCTTTCTAAACTTCACATGCAAATGCTTTTTATCAAAAAAAAAAATTTGCCCCAACAAAAATTAAACGTAACAATAATTATTATTATCAAAACCGCTAACTTTTACAATGATAAGTTTAAAATTCTAAGCTACTTCATACAAGTACTAGTCTGTACTACATACTACTATAAGAGAAGAAAAAAAATGTGGAATAGAGTAGTTCATTTTTATTTAAGAATGACGGATATCAAATGCACCTTAATGGCTTTGCCACGGCCTACATCTATTGGAAATTCTTAAGGAAGAAAGAAAACATACTACTAATTCAGTCAATACAAAAGTTAGTGGCAAAGCCAGGATTTGTAATTATTCGGGAGACAAATTTCAAATGTTTAATTATTTGACAAAAAATTTAGTTAGAAAAAAAAAATTGATCACATAAATTGTTTAATATATATTTGAAATTGCATCATTTTTTTTTTTTTGAAACATATATTAATATCATTAATAACTATAAAAATGATATAATTTGCAGTAATGCATAAAAAATAATTAGACAAAAAAAATTAGAGAATAATTAACCTGTGAACAGCTTAAAGGAACTTGGAAGACCCCTTTGCTTAACAGCCCACCAAATCTGTGATTTATTTAGACTGTATAAAGCCGGATCAATTATCACTGGCTTTCCCCTTTTATTCCTGAAATAAATATTTACCATTCAATATTATTATAATTACTGCATTATTTACAACACCCTTTTATGGCTTTTAACCACCGACACAATCACTAGTTGAAAAAAAACACTTACAATTTCCAACCCAGTCTACTGGAATGCTGTACAAAATTTGAATCTCTTGGTACGTCAGAAAAGGCATGAATTAAATCTGCCAAAAAAAAAAAAAAAAAAAAAAAGTCAACAACTAAATTACTCCGTAAGAGGTACAAATCACTCCCGCCATCTCGACTTATTATTAGTTCAGATTACACTGTCAACGTGACTATTAATTCAAGAAGCCAGGGACTTGAGGGTTGAGGCGAGTGCTCAATACCTCGTTTCGAATAGAAAAAAAATAAAATAAAAGGGTACTCACCATACCATCTTGAGTAACCAAAGGATAATCAGAGGCACTCAGATTAATAAACCAATCCCATTGACAAGTCTTTAGAAGAATGGAAATGGCATGTAATG